CCTGGGACCTTTCAGTCCGCAGACCAACGCTCTACCACTGAGCCAAACCGGTTTTGGCAGGGCACACTTTTTTAAAGACATGGCAAATGCCCCCTCACTTTGGCCTCTAGGGTAACAAGCTGACAAGTTGCAAAAGTGAAATCCACACTTTCTGTGCTTTAGGGTTACTTATCTGTAAAAGGAGGAAAACAGCTCAGCTAATGGGAGGGACTACCTTCTTTATCTTTCCCCCCACCTGGACCCTGCCTCATCTGCAGCCCTGAGAGATACACTGTTTGCAGACACCTGTAAGGTTTTCTTTGATGAGGAAGCTAGCCTCAGCCAAGGCAGGCAGGGCTTGAGAAATGATGAAGCAATCTCATGTGATGGAACAAACCTTCCTTTTGTGAGAGCGTTTTTGTTCTGTTTTGTTCTTTCAGGGACTTACTCCAACCACTGAGTTGCGAGGGAGAGTGGGGATGGTTTTTCCAAAATTGGATATATATATACCCAGAGGTCCTCGGTTTGATTTCTGATCAGGGTGCAAGGATTCGGGCTTGCTCCCCAGTAGGGGGTGAACAGGGGGCAGCTGATCAAAGTTTCTCTCTCTATCCCTCTCCCTTCCTCTGTATCTAAAATCAATAAAAACATATTTTTGGAAATATCTAAAAAAAAACAAAAAGGTTTGAATGCCTTTCATTTTAAAATTTTTAGTTTGATATTTTTTATTGATTTTTTTAGAGAGGGAGGTAGAAACATCGATGAGAGACCATCACTCACCAAACTCCTTTTTGCTATTGCTTTAGCAGTCTGTAATAGAAGCCACTCCTATGGGTATAATTGTCTTCCCCCTTACATCCTTTCAAATCATTCAAAATGAGTGAAGGCAGGAACAGTAAAGGAGAGAGAATCCAGGAAAAAGTACCATATTTCACCCTTCCCAACAAAATAGATACTTGTAGACACTGCTCTAAATAATTTTCACATTGCCCATTTCTACTGGGTGAGTGGAATGAGAATACTTTAATGTATTTCTTTGGTCTAAGACCCATCTGAAGGAAAGGTTCACATCTTGGTGCTTGACAGAAAAAGGTTCTACTACTAAGGAAACAAAATTATAAACGATTGCCCTGCCCTACAAAAAAACAAACTGTCAAATACTGCAAATAAAGTTAGAGAACTCTGATAGAATCTGCTTGGTTTCCATTAGGAGAAATAACATGAGAGTAAACCAAAAATGCACCACTTGGAAAATAGTCCTAGGTGATTTATTTTTTTGAGAGAGGGGTGTTGGGGAGAGACATTGATTTGTTGTTCCACTTATTTATGCATTCACCGGTTGATTCGTTTATGTGCCCTGACCCTGGATCGAAAACCAACTGTGGCGTATCAATTGCTCTAACCAACTGAGCTACCTGGCAAGGGCACATTTAAAAATTTTTTAAATGTATATTTTATTGATTTTTTTTACAGAGAGGAAGAGAGAAGGATAGAGAATCAGAAACATCAACCAGCTGCCTCCTGCACACCCCCTACTGGGGATGTGCCCGCAACAAAGGTACATGCCGTTGACGGGAATCGAACTGGGGACCCTTGAGTCCGCAGGCCGACACTCCATCCATTGAGCCAAACCGGTTTCGGCACATTTTAATTTTTTAATTTAATTTTTTTTTTAATTATAAGAGGAAGTTTTTTTTAGAAAGTTACAAACATAGACGTGAGCCAGTTGGGCTGGGCAGGCTCAGGAAACAAATTACAGAAGCAAAGAACCTTTGAAGCTGGGGGAAAGAAGGTAACACAGCTGGGGGAAGAGGGGAATGGGAAAGGTGCTGTCGTGCTTTGGAGAGGGAGAGCAAGAGCGCCACTAACGTTTTTTTGAAAATCCTCACTTGAGGGTATGTTGTATTGATTATTTTGTTTTATTGATTTTTGAGAGAAAAGCATCCACTAGTTGCCTCCTGTTTGCTCCATTACTGGGGATCGAACCCATAACCTTTGGGTGTATGAAACTACATTCCGACCGAGCCACCTGGCTGGGGCACACCCCTAACACTTTTACAATGCCATCGTCTAGAAGAGAATTTTACAGGTACTCTGTCTCGGTGTTGATACACCTGCCAAGTAGATAGAGAAAATAATTACTATCCTTACTTTGTAGAAGGAAGAACAGAACAGAGACTCAAAGAAGTTAAGGACTTGCCCTGTCAGTGGTCGGCAAACTGCAGCTCGCAAGTCACATTCAGCTCTTTGGCCCCTTGGGTGTGGCTCGTCCACAAAATACCACAGCCTAGGCGAGTCTATTTTGAAATGGCATTAGAAGAAGTTTAAAAAATTTGACTCTCAAAAGAAATTTCAATCGTCGTACTGTTGATATTTGATTCTGTTGATTAATGAGTTTGCAGACCACTGCCCTAAGTCAAAGGATTTGTTACTGGTTTTGTTGGCACTAAAACCCGGGTTTTACTTCCCAGTCCAGCATTTGTTTCAGCGTTGCTAAGTGCCCAGGCAGTATAGATAATGTTGGAGAGCTTAGCGGTTTTCCAATGTGTGACAGTTGACAACATTCACTTCTCTCTGTCCTGATTCCGAGATGATAACCGTGTCCTCCAACTCAAGAGGGGGACGGCTTCAGGGAGAAGCCCATCAGTAATAGGTGGAGCTCTAAAAACAGAAATATCTTAAAAACTGGCAACAATTAACAGATTGTTGTCAAGGCCAACTCTTTTCTTTCTTTCTTTCTTTTTTTTTAATATATTTTATTGATTTTGTAGAGAGGAAGTGAGAGAGATAGAGAGAAACATCGATGAGAGAGAGTCATCGATCAGCTGCCTCTTGCACACCCCCTACTGGGGATATGCCCGCAACTAAGGTACATGCCCTTGACTGGAATCGAACCCGGGTCCCTTCAGTCCCCAAGCCGACGCTCTTTCCATTGGGCCAAATCAGTCTCGGCAAGGCCAACTCTTTCAAAGGAAAAGCATTTAAGTGATTTTTATTGAACAGAAAAAACATTCCTAAGGGCTTATACTGTTGGAGAGAAACCCAAGAAAAGTAAAGGCGGCACTCTGAGATTTTTGTCAATGAGTTTAATATATGTCCACAGATTACCATTCATATGAATGCTTAAATTACAAAATTAGCTGCCATGGCCCAAATGTGTGGGACTTTAAGAAAGCTTTTATTAAAGATAGCTAAGCATATCAATTTTGATTTCTAAAATGTATTTTAAAGGTTGGTAAAACAAGGCTAATTCTAGAATTATATAGTATTGTTTTGTTATTATTTTAATAACTTAATTTCACAAACTGTTTTAAAAAATTACATTTGCACCCCCCAGCTGACGCATTTCTGCATTAACTAAGAGAAAAACTCCTGTGAAAAGTTTCCATGCAGTTTCAAAGGCAGCAGCACATTGTTCCCACAGCATCAGCAACGAAATACCCGCCCACCCCTCTCCCACCAAAAATCCAACCCTTTCCCATCCCCAGCAAAAATTACCTGGTAAAGCAGTGACTTAAAAAAAATGCTTTCTTACTAGGAAGCATTTATAAAATGCAGAAATCTGAACAAGCTAAATGCTCGTGCAGATGAATGGGCCTCTCCCCCAAGAGTTCCTTTCTCAGAGCAGGGGTGGGGATCGTCTGGCCCGAGGGTTGTATAAGGCCCATGAAATCATTTGGTCTGGCCTTGCCAGGCATTAGGGATAAGTTAATTAAATGTCTGACCAAATATAGCACGATAAATTTTAAAAAAATATGTATTTTTATTGATTTTAGAGAGGGAGAGGGATAGAAACATCAATGATGAGAAGCATTGATCAGCTACTTCCTGCACACAACTCCTACTGGAAATCGAGCCCACAACTCAGGCATGTGTCTCTGACTGAACTTGAACCTGGGACCCTTCAGTACACAGGCCAATGCTCTATCCACTGAGCCAAACTAGCTAGGGCAACATGATAATTTTGTATGGCCCGAGAATGTTATAAATATCCAAATGGCCCTTGGCAGAAAAAAAGGTTCCCCACCCATGCTCATGAGGCAGAACTCTCAATCAATTAGGAAAGCTAATTTTTAAAAGTGTATTTATACATATTCATGGCTATTTCTCTGAAAGAATATACCCAGCCTCAGCTGTGGAAGAGATAAAAGCAGGAGAAGCAAAGGGACACAGCCACAACACAGAACTTCTCCATGAACATCCAAAAAGGTGAGGCAACCAAGAAGGAAAACATCTGTGACTTCACAGACCACTGATCTGCTCTAGGTGAAGCAGGTAACTTTTCATGCATTTAACTCAAGAAAACCTACAACCACTTAAAATACAGCATTCACAATGTCATTAGCTTATGGTATCAGGTAAGGAGAAAACTGCTCCTGTACTGCCTATCTGTAGAATTTTCCAGTACATGTCAGTACCCTAACATCTACAGATATGCTATAATACTGTCATCAGCACCCTCTCTACCTACAAAACATATAGTGAACTACACTGTTTTGAGTCCCTGAAATTTCAACACCACAGATAGTGTTCTAAGTTTTATTTTTTTATAAGTTTGTTGTAGACACAGAAGAAAACAAGCAGTGTTTATTGTTATCTGTGGAATCTTGGTTTAGGGTCATTCTTTATAGCCATTTCAACTGTCCAGTTTAAACAAAAAGCAACAATCTGTTTATCTATAAACTCATGATATTTCTTCAAATTATAATAGCACTAAAAGCACTGATGATTCATGTTATAATTTTAAAAGAATTTTAAAACTACAGAGTTCATATATCATTCCTTTTGTAAAATAATCAAAATAATGTCATTATCTGGAAGAAAAATTACTGAAACAGTCCTTCCAATGTATTTCTAACTTCTGTAAAACTCCAAACCAAAAACAGAACAGATGATGAAATAAGAACTTCAGTCACTTGGAGTGTTTGAACTTTCAGATGAGAAATGGACTGTTATCTTTTATGTCTCCTGTGAATTCAGAGCTTATAGGTGGCATCAGGACTCAGATCCCTGGGATGGCTTTACATGGCTTTCACCTTGATTTGTTTCATTTTCATTTGCTTCTTTTCCAGTTTCTTTTGCTCACGTCTCAAGGCAGCTTCCTAGAGAGACAGACAGAAATAATCCAAACTAAGCTCGAAGCACAGATTTTTAAAAAATCAAAACTAGAATACTGCCTATAATATTACTCAAAAACCTAGACTTACACCATAAATAACATTCCAGAAGATAATTATAAAAAGTGCTAATATCTACATTGGTTAACAAAAATTAACCTGAAATGAAGCAAAGGTAACTACCATCTCAAATCAGAAGCTAAATACTGTAAGTTGGCTTTGTTAAGTCTGGTCTGATTTTTCCTATAACCAGGAAACACTAGGTCAATTTTCAACCTAACAATTATATAAATTTACCAAAAATTTGTACTTCAGAAAAGCATAAGATCTTTTAAAAATTGATTTGAGAGAGAAACAGCAATTTGCTCTTTCTACTAATTTATGCATTCATTGGTTGATTCCTATATGTGCCCTGACTGGGACTGATCCTGCAACCCTGGCTTATCAGGAAGATGCTCCAACTTGGGTTTGATCTGGTTGGGGCACATACCAGAGGCAACTGGTTAATATCTCTCTCTCCCTCTATCTCTCTTTAAAATCAGTAAAAACATATCCTGAGAAGAGGATTAAAAAATATACAAATAATTTTAAAATAAAAATTTAAAAACTGAGAACTAATAAAGAGGAGCTCTCATATCATATACTAGTAAAAAAAAAAAAGTATAAATTGGTACAACTTATTAGCAGCCTATCTTACTTTCTTTCTTGCCCAGGATTCTTTTCCTCGGGAAAGAAAAAAAATAGCACAAATACAAAAAGACACATTCTTTGAAAGACTGCGATATTTTTTTTTAAATATATTTCATTGATTTTCTACAGAGAGGAAGTGTGAGGGATAGATAGAAACATCTATGAGAGAAACATTGAACAGTTGCTTCCTATCCCTACTGGGGATGTGCCCGCAACCAAAGTACATGCCCTTGACCGGAATCAAACCTGGGACCCTTGAATCTGCAGGCTGGTGTTCTATCCACTGAGCCAAACTGGTTAGGGCGGATTATGTCATTTTTACCTCGAGTCTGCGCTGTTTCTCAGGATCTTCCTCATTCATGATCCGCTCCTTCTCTGCTCTTTTCTTCTCCTCACGCCGAGACTGAGCAGCTTCCTGTCTTTGCACATGTGTCAGCTTCAAAAATTTCTCTTCCACTCTAGCTCGGTTCTTATCTGCTTTTTGTTTGCCCTTTCCCCAAGAAACAAAGAGTTTCATAAGAAATCCATTTTAATTCAATAGAAGCAAAAGCCCATTTAGTATGCTTTCATAAAACTAATCCCCTTTAGCAATTTCAAGTAAAGTAGCAAAGATACAATCACTGAAATCCTGGATAGATGATTCCCCCAGAAGAAAAAAATAACAAGTGCCAGCTTATAATAAAGGCTGAAGTCTTACTTCTCTGTTGAGTCGGAACTTTTTGGCTTTGTCAATAGAGTAAATCACCATGTTCATCAGGGATAGCAAAGCTTCCATATCCTTTGGGTAAGTGTTACCTAAACCAGGCACTGAAAAACAAAGCCATTTTCCTATTGAGTTAACAGAGGATTAATACTTTGAGTCACCAACTCCCACTCTTTTTATTTTTATTTTTTATTAATAAACTTTTTTCTTCATGTTTCTTAGGCAGCTAAAAGGCAACAGAAAATAAAAAATTAAAATATATACAAGAACCTGCCGAAACCGGTTTGGCTCAGTGGATAGAGCGTTGGCCTGGAGATTGAAAGGTCCCAGGTTCGATTCCAGTCAAGGGCATGTATCTTGGTTGCAGGCACATCCCCAGTAGGGAGGAGGTGTGGAAGAGGCAACTGGTCGATGTTTCTCTCTCATCGATGTTTCTAGCTCTCTATCCCTCTCCCTCCCTCTCTGTAAAAAAATCAATAAAAATATTTTTTTTAAAAAAGAGGAAACATTAAAAAAAAAAAAAAAAAAAAAAAAAAATATATATATATATATATATATATATATATATATATATATATATATATAAAAGGATCTCTTATTGAAGAAACACAACAGCAATAAGCAGGCATGGGGTTTGTCTTAATATAGTTTGTTTTTTAATGTATTTTTATTGATTTCAGAGAAGTAGGGAGAGAGAAACATTGATGAGAGAGAATCGTTGATTGGCCTCCTCCTGCATGCCCCCCACTGGGCATCAAGCCCACAACCCAGGCAGGTACCCAAACCTGGGACCCTTCAGTCCGCAGGCTGACGCTCAATCCACTGAGCCAAACCAGGTAGGGTTAATATATTTTTTTATAGCTGTCACTTAGGAGGGAACAATACTCTCCTTAAGATCATCTCTCGGAAAACAAAGAACCCAGCAGGACATGGAATACGTACCATTAAATGTAAACAGTAGAGTCCTCTTAGTTTCAGGTAGCTTCAGAGGCTGACCTTCCCTGCCATGGAAGAAAGGGCTATTTAGAAGGATATTCTCTCTGCATGTAAATTACCCAGGTCACTTAGATGGACAGACACCTACAGTCAGCACAGTATCTGGCTTGGCATCCCCAAGTCAAATAAAATCTCAGAGCCTAACCCACTTGCCTATCTGATGAATGCATTCCCAAGTGACCTTTCTACTTGAATACTCCAAGATATATTCCATCTCACCTGGGGAACCAGAAATAAGCCTATATTTAAGTAAGAGGCCCATATTTTAAGTAACATTTCTGCTATTTTGATGAGTTTCTATGTTCTATTTCCAACTCCTATTTTATCTTCCTTCCTATAATGAAGTATCTTATTTTTGAGCCAGGCTTAGAATAAATTTAGAAGTAATCAACTGTAGCACATATAATTTAGTTCCGATTCACCTATCAACTCGCTTCTCCCCCACCCCAAAAGGCTCGTTACCATAATGTGGTACTTTGCCCATGGTGTTAATATTGAGTTAAGCAGGGCAAGGATGATGCAACACCATCTAAAGGCAGAAGGACCTGAGTAATTCTGACACTCAGTGAAAATCCAGATTGGCTTTTAATTGTACTCAATTCCACAGCCTATGATAGAGTAGCCCTTAATCAAAAATTTAGGCCAGAACCATTTCTACACCAAGGGTGAACTCAAATAAGTATGTTCTCCTGAAATGGGAACATATAACAACAAATCAAAATTCAACAACAAATTCAAGCCCTGAATATGTACATTTGAAATACATTACTATAAGTATTACTTTGGGTATTGAACATGTTTTATAATACCTACACTCGGAAAAAAATATAAGCATCCACTATACAAAGACAGAGCCAGAAAAGGCCAGATTTGCAATCAAACATAAATTCATATCAAATTTAAAAAAGGGGGAAAAAGGACATAGCCTATGAAGGACAGAGATTAGAAATTGCATTCTCTTATATGAGCCATTTTGTAAGATTCTCTTCCACGTCACTGAGTGCATGGTGCACACGTGCAGCGACACGTGCAAACCGGGAGGCTTGTTTATCTCCCATAGGTTTCCAACCACCTTCCTGATGCATGCAGTCAAAGCAAAAGGAAACTTGGGAGTCATGAACTTCCCTCACTCATATGGCAAAGGAAATTGAAGAAGCATCTTGCAGGTGTTTTAACACAGAAAGCTAAAGAAGAAAATCATATTCAGTATTTTTATTTCATACGTACTCTTGCATAATTTTTGGACCCGAGAACTGGTCTGAAAAATGAACAGATTCAATCTTGTCAGCGTAGTGTGTAAGAAAGTGGACCATCTGAAATAGAGAAAATTATATTTAAAGTAGGGTTTAATGTACTTCCCTTTTTTCATAAAGATATTTACTCTTGCCCTGGCTGGTTTGGCTCAGTGGGTAGAGCATTGGCCTGCGGACTGAGGGGTCCCAGGTTCAATTCTGGCCAAGAGCACATACCTGGATTGCGGGCTGGACCCCCAGTAGGGGGCATGCAGGAGGCAACTGATCAATGATTCTCTCTCATCATTGGTGTTTCTATCTCTCCCTCTCCCTTTCTCTCTGAAATCAATTATATATATATATATATATATATATATATATATATATATATATATATATATATTTTTTTTTTTTTTTTTTTTTTTTAAAGATATTTACTCGTCAGTCCTCCTTATTATTGTACAATGTCATTAAGGCTAAAGCTTTTTTAAAAAATTATTTTATTTTTCTTAGAATGGAAGGGAGGGGGAGAGACAGACAGAGAAACATCGATGTGAGAGAGACACATCGATTGTCTGCTTCCAGCAAACACCCTAACCAGGGATGGAGCTTAAAACCAAGGCATGTGTCCTCGACTGGAGTCAAACTGGACCATTCAGTCCACAGGCTGATGCTCATTCCACTAAGCCAAACCAGCTAGGGCAAGGCTAAAGCTTTTAAAAAATTAAATTTAAATAAGAAGGAATTTCTCTATAATGAAACTAGTTCCTTTTCTTGAGTAACACCAATGCTTAAGTATTCTCATTGAGCAGCTGAAAATATGTCTCAAAGTAATGTTCTAAATAAGAATAAAAGTGTGGAGATAAAATCTAAAATAATTTCAAGAGATTCTACATGAACATATCACCTTGAACTTACATTTATAAATGTCTTTGAGCTAGCCTACATTTTTATGATATTAAGATGTGCTGTTACCATTATACAACCAATAGGAAAAAAAAATGGCTCTCTATACATCCCTCTTCTCTTACACTAACTGAAAGTAAAATAATGGACTAAATGACATGGTGATAAAGATTAAAGTTGTAGTCCTTTCTAAAAACATCTGAAAATCATCAGCAATCCTAGGAACAATTTGCTCTTGATTTAGAGAGAACTTCTTCACTAAACATTTTTTTTTTTTTGACAAGTTAATCTGTTGCTTAAAGAAAGAATTAGAATATTTTGGGGAAAGAAATACATAATCAATACACTGTCTTAAATGATGAACTCATACAGCATGACTTTTAGGGAGAGTACCTTGTAAATGCCAATATCTGCAAATATATCCCTTCTATTTCACTTACCTTGGTATCCATCATTCCCTCTGTGACTTCTCCCATCTCTGACAGGATGGCCAAGGAGTCTGGCAGTCCATACTTTGCTCCAGACTTAGGTTTGTCACTACAAAACTCACTCTAGAGGAAGAAGTAATTGAAGTAAGATGTGACATTTTATTATGCAGATGTTTTCTTCTCAAGAGAATATGTAATTTGAAATTAACCTATTTCAAAGTGGTTAATTATGCTATGCTTTGAAGGTGAACATCTATGTAATAATTAGGCACAGTTTCTATGTATATTTGAGTTGGAATAGTCAACGTACCAGATCCTGCATTTCTTTCTGCAGTCGTACCAGGGCTTTCCGAGTACCAATAGCAAACACATAGGTATCCATGTCTTCATCATTCATGGTTACTTTTATTTGCTATTAAAAAAACACACAAGAAAAACAACAACAAAACTCACATGTTAGGTTCTGTGACAGGCCTATTTCTAAGATGGCCCTGAAGATTCCCCTGTGTATAGGTACATCCTCCCCTTGAAGGTGAGCAGGACTTGTGAAATGGTGGGATATCACTCCCATGACGCTGTTATGTTGCAGAAAGTCCCTAATCAGCCGACTTCGCTATTAATCAAGAGACATTATCCAGATAAACTGATTTAATCACATGCACCTCAACCCCAACAGCTAAGTGGACAATGGTCTGTGCAAACAGAGAAGGGGCCATTTTTTGACAAAGTACATTAGTTGTCAATAACTCCAAACAGAATCTAAACAATGAATGGAATAAGCTCTAAGAAATTAAGAATTCAATCTGTATAGTGAAAAACAGCAAGAAGAATACATACCACTTGATCACTTGCTGGCCTCATCATACGGGCCAGGACATTCAGTAAGTCCTGTCTCTTGAGGAACTGGAAAAATAAAAGAGAACAGTTGTAATCTCCAGTTACAGAGAGACCCTGGAGATGGAATCAGATATTTCAAATATACTTGGCATTTGCTAGTTAGTAGTAGATGACTTTTATTTATTTATTTATTTATTTATTTTTTAAATATATATTTTATTGATTTGTACAGAGAGAAAGGGAGAGAGATAGAGAGTTAGAAACATTGATGAGAGAGTCATCGATCAGCTGCCTCTTGCACATCCCCTACTGGGGATATGCCCGCAACTAAGGTACATGCCCCTGACCGCAATCGAACCCGGGACCTTTCAGTCCCCAAGCTGACGCTCTATCCATTGAGCCAAACCAGTCTCGGCAGTAGATGACTTTTAGACCTTCTTGAAGACACTAAACTTACAGGATTTGGGAAAAAAAACAAAAGGAAGACATATCCATTGCACCAGAAATTCCCTACTTACCCTGAGCTGGATAAGCATCCCCTCACAGCACACTCGACCAGAACACCACAGGTTGTAGATATGCTCATTCTCCTGGTTCAGCTTTCCGGTACTTGTGGCTTCTTTGTTTGTCCCATCATCCCCTAGGAGTAAACCACTTAATGTGATTCCCTGAAAGCGGTGAGGCCTAATTAACACTCCTTCCTCCACCCTCACCCCATAATGATTAGAGTTTTAGGGTGGCAATACTTGGAGATCGTAGAGAACTCTCTCTCCTTTGAACATGGATGACAACAGATGGGCATTGTTCCTTTTACTTTTAAAACTCTATTGTCTCCTTTAAAAAAAAATCATACGCTAGCATTACTAGTACTTGTTAGTTAAGACAGTTAGCTTGCAAGTTTCTTGAGAGCAGTTAAAAAAATGGAGCAAAATCAGTTTAAATGTTTCCTCCCCAAGTTAAAAATACTCCCAATGTAATGAAAAAAAAAAAAAATACCATAACTACAAACTATTTAACACTTCCTCACCATGTCTGAGTTAACTTTGACCAAGTTTGCTTTTTCAACAGCAAAATGATAATAGTGGTATGAAGAGCTGTATTTTAGATCTAGAAAAAGCTAAAATTCCAACCATTTTCTCATTTCATTTAATTAAGTGTATGAAAGAAAGTGCTGACCCTCACAAGGTAAAGCAAGACTAACACACCAAAATGAAAACATGAGAGGAAGTGGAAGGCATTAAAGGCGGCTTATTATTTTCCTAATGTCCAGGTGAATAAGTATTCTGAAATAATATGTACAGCAGAGAGAGCATGGAATTTGAAAGCATATAGACTAGGTTTAATATATCATGGTTGCAAGAAAATAGCATTTCTGGATTTCAGTCCCCTCTTTAGGAAAAAAGAACCTTTCCAACTGACAGTATTGTTACAGTTTAAATAAGAAACAATATATGCAAAGTAGCTAGCACAACACACAAACAGTTTACTAAAGAGCAGAGCAGATGCATACATGCTTACTATTAAAGGGAAACAAAGTGTTTAAATGCCAAACAGAGGTTGAAAGTGCAAGTCCACCTTACTCCTTACACTATACAACTGCAGGGGTTTCCCTAATTACTTCAGTGTACACCCCTCTGCAGTGGACCCAAAACTCAAGTGCCCAGAACCCAAGGGTATTCTAATTTCTAAAAGATGAACTGAAAGTATTTATCAAGCTTCTTTATATGTTAAAATTCCTTGCTTTCAGTCAGACTCTTGTCCAAATGTTTTGAAACAATTGTTCTTCAGCAAATGTTGATTAATGGCAGATGAGAAATTCATTTCATAAATGCAAATTATTCGGCATATAAAACCTAACAAAAATGGGATCCCTGGAAAGAAAATAAAAAAGCACCCTCTTCAGCATTCCCAGAGAGCAGTTAGGTACTTATACTGAGGGGAATAAACAGTTCTGATTCGATGTTTCCCAAGCCCACAGCAGGTCTTCTATTAGCCTAACTTACCTACTAAGGTAAAGTTACTCTCCAAAAGCTCTCTATGAGAGTTAAACCAGGCCTGAGCAAGGCGGCTGTTTTTATTCTTCCCGATGATATAGTTCATGATGTAGGCGAGCAGACCAGTCACCATCAAAATTTCTAGATAATAACTCTCCCAACTGTTTTGGAGGTGTGCAGGAACCTAAAGAAAAACAATTATTCCATTTAATGTTAGTTGAAGCTAAAGGACGGATTCTAACTCACAGAAGACCCATAAACAGAAGGGATACTTTAGATAACTGTCACTAAAAATGATTATACTTTGAAAAACATGCCCATTTTGATTTTCCAGGTTGGCTTTGTAAAAGACTCTTTAAGGAAATGTGAAGTCACGTGGGATCAAAGGATGGAAAGCCCTTTGTATTAAACTTGATTCTGGTCCGAACCCAAAATAAATCCAATGGCTATCATCTTCATCATTCCTAAATAAAACTATGAGGACTAGAATGAAAACACAGGGATTGCTTCTATAGGTGTGGAGTTCTATCAGAAGAATTGATGTCAAACTCTTTCATAGCTACAACAATTAAATCAACACCAGCTACATGTTACTAGTTATATTTCTGGGATTACTAACAGTAAGATTTTTTGTTGGTTACTTTGGAATTTAGAATCCTGTATACTTACATCAACAATTGTTATTGGGTCTTTATTTTTGCCAGAAGAAGTATCTGGTTTGTCTTCATAACCTTCAAATTCTTCATCATCATATGGCTCACCCTCGGTATCTCCCTCCTACAAAAATGAGGCAGCAATCTGTTTTTCCCTACAAATGTCGCCAGCAACTTTATCTCTTTTTTTGTAGGCAACAATTGTAGAGGAAAATAGAACATGTTAGCAACAAGCACAGAAGACAGAGATATTGCATGTTTTTAACAAGTGACTCCCCATGCTTTTGAACCCTGAGTTCTAAATTATATAATTCCTGCCCACACATAGAATCCATTCTCTATAACTTCCAACCCCCCACCCCAGGCTTTCCAAAGAGGAGAAAAACAATTTATTCTCCCATCAATGTGAAAGGTTTAGAAGAACTTCACCTACTAAACAAAAATGAAGATACCAGAGAGTAAAAGTCTCCCTAAATCTGGGTCTTACTTTTAAAGGCTAGGAAAAGTGCTAATTAAAAATGTTCCCATGCTTCCAATTCCCGGAAAAATCATTAAGAAAATCTCACCTGGGTATCGGTATCTTCAAAATCTCCTTCTTGGTTTTCATCCTGCCCTTCTAACTCTACAGTGGTCTCATCTTCATCATCTTCAGCGGTAACCACCCGTTGAGGAGATTCAGTAACAGAATCTTCTGTGACATCTTCAAATTCAGCAAAATCATTATCATCATATTCTACTATGTCTTCCTCATCCTCAAAATCATCAAACTTAGCTTCAGAGACACTTCCGAACACCAAAAGGACAACACAGAAAGCAAGGAAGACTTTCATGGCACCTTAAAAAAAACACACACAAAACCTAAATGGACTGCTACTCTGATCAAATTTGGAAACCATTAAAAGATATATCTATGACACTCTCCTACTTTTCTCTTACTTAATATTATTCATTTTAGAAAGCACCACAAAAAAACGAGGTGGGGATAAAGAGGCCTGGGTTTTCATCTGGATTCTGTCACTAATTAGCTGTGAAATCTTTAGGTTGGTTTCCATTTACACTGTGCATTCAGTAAGCATTTTTTGAAAAACTTTATAGGAACTGGGGAGGGATATAAGAGATATAACTACTTATCTGTTGGTGGTAATGAAAATAATACATGAGCAAAATAAATGAACAAACAAAATAGAAACAGACTCCTAGATTCTGAGAACAGACTTAGTTGCCAGAGGTGGGAGTGGGGGTGGGAGAGGTATAAGGGGAGGAAGGGAGTTGGGCCTGAGGGAAAAAGTGAAGGGATTAAGAACTACAAATTGGTAGTCACAAAAATAGACATGGCGATGTAAAGTACAGCATAGGGAATATAGTCAATAATCCTATATAATAAAAGCATAATATGCTAAGTGTCTGACTGATGGGTCGAACTTTTGGCCCACCGCTCGACCAGTTGCTATGATACACACTGACCACCAGGGGGCAGACGCTCCAGCCAGTAGGTTTGCTTGCTGCTGGGGTCTGGTAATTGGGACTGGGCGAGAGGGCTGGACACACTCTGGACTCTCCCGTGGTCCCGGCTTGGCCAGCCAGCCCCCATCAGCCTCCGTTGGGACTGGGCGATCACCAGCCAGGCCAAGGGACCCCATTCATGCACGAATTTGTGCACTGGGCCTCTAGTATTGTAATAACTACATATGGGGCCAGGTGGGTACCTGAAAATATTGGGGGACCACTTTGTAAAGTATATGATTGTCTAACCACTATACTATACACCTGAAACACAAAATAAAGTTTGTAAAATCCTTTAAAATGGTAAAAACCACTCTTCGTTCACAGGCTGTACAAAAATAGTCCCTCTCAGTCTACAGAGCCCTCTTCTACAACTGTCTTAAAATCAACAGGTAGCTGAATATCTCTATTTTTATATTAATATTAACCTCATTTCCCCAATCTTACTTGTTGAAAAAAAGCAAGATATCTAATTTCTCACTTTCTTTTCCCTTTGAAATCTAATCAGCCACCAAATCCTCGTATTTCATTTGATTCCCAAAGCCACCATAATCTAAACTATCACCACCTACTAAAGAACCACAGTATTTTCCTAAATGGTCTCCCTTTTCTAAACTCTCCCTAAAAGTCATGGCCATTTTTCTAAAATGCAACTTTTGCTACATAAGGATTCAATAACCATCAAATGCTAAGCAATTCCTGCAGAATAATATAAGAACTCTGGCTTTTATTGCTTTTCATAAAATGATTCTATGATATCTAAATAAATATACCTTCACTGAACATACTACCATGTCAGATATTAAGCCAAGAGAGTAAAACATGACTTCCAAATAACTGTAAATTTGCACAAGAATTCAGTTTCAAGGATATGTGTTACAGTGTTACTTATAGTAGAAAATTTGAAATTGTTTGGTTAAACCATAGGTACATACAAAAAGCAAATTTACTTTCTGTCCATTGAAAATTGTTACAAATGAAGTTAGAATCCATATTATTTTAGAAGCAAATATGTGTAAACAAAACAGTTTGGAAGGATGTATATACATCTACACATAAATAATAATTACTTTGTATGGTAAGATTATGGGTATTTTGCCTTATTTTTATGTTTTCTAATTTTCCTTTGTGCTTTTGTAATAAAAAGAAAAAGTTCTTTAAAAAATTAAAAGCATGGTTTCTGCATGCAAGAAGAGGCACTGCAAATGGAAGACTACTTTAGCATAAAGGCTAAAAATAACATATTGTAGGAGTTTGATATGATGCTGGGATTATCGATTCAAGGGGGAAATGAGGCTGGAAAGGCCAACAGGGACCAGATCATAATGATCTTTACTTAAATACCACACTAATAAGTTTGGATAATTAGAATCAACTAAAGGATTTAAGTAGGAGAATGACACTATCAGATTTGCAATTCAACTCTTGACAGCTCATACACAGGGTGAATTGAAAAAGGGCACCTGAAGCAGGAAAGATTAAGTGGTTGAAACAATTATATAAGGGGAAAAAACAGCCCTAGCTGGTTTGGTTCCGTGGATGGAGCATTGGCCTGTGGACTGAAGGGTCCCAGGTTCGATTCCAGTCAAGGGCACATGCCCGGATTGTGGATCTGACCCCCAGTGGGGGGCACATAGGAGGCAGCTGATGGATCGTCCTTTCTCATCATTGATGTTTCTTATCTCTCTTTCCCTCTCCCTTCCTCTCTGAAATCAATAAAAAAAAATTTTTTTAAAAAGAAAACACACACGATTGAACTGGCAGTGGTATTGGAAATGAATAGGAAAACAGATTTGACAGATTTTTAAAAAATATGTATTTTATTGCTTTTTACAGAGAGGGGAGAAGGATAGAGTTAGAAACATCAATGAGAGAGAAACATCGATCAGCTGCCTCTTGCCCACCCCCTACTGGGGATATGCCCAATACTGGAATCAAACCTGGGACCCTTGAGTCCACAGGTCCACGCTCTATCCACTGAGCTAATCCCGTTGGGGCCAGATTTGACAGATTTAAGACTATCAGCATTGCCTGACCAGCATGGCTCAGTGGTTGACCATTGACCTATGAACCAAGTCACAGTTGGACTCCTAATCAGGGCAAATTTGAATTCTTATGCAAATTTAGTTATTTGGAAGTCATGTTTTATTCTCTTGGCTTAATATCTGACATGGTAGTATGTTCAGTGAAAGTATATTTATTTAGATATCATAGAATCATTTTATGAAAAGCAGTAAAAGCCAGAGTTCTTATATTATTCTGCAGGAATTGCTTAACTTTTGATTGAGCCTGCATTGTGGGCTCGATCCCCAGTGTGGGGCATGTAGGAGACAGTTAATTAATGATTCTTTTTTTTTAAATATATTTTTATTGATTTTGTACAGAGAGGAAGGGAGAAAGAGAGTTAGAAACATCAATGAGAGAGAGTCATCCATCGATCAGCTTCCTCTTGCATACCCCCTACTGGGGATACGCCTGCAACCAAGGTACATGCCCTTGACCAGAATCGAACCCTTTCAGTCCCCAAGCCGACACTTTATCCATTGAACCAAACCGGTTTCGGCATAATTAATGATTCTTTCTAATCACTGATGTTTCTATCTCTTTCCCTTCCTCTCTAAAATCACTAAAACACACACACACACACACACACACACACACATACATATATATATATATATATATATATATATTTTTTTTTTAAGTGGCATTATAGAAGTCAAAGGAGAAGCACATTTCTAAAGAAACAGCTTTTTTAATGGCTGCAGAAAATTCAAGATATGAGCCAAAAAATTTGGAGGGGGGGAACCCTCACCCAAGGATATTTTTCCATCGATTTTTTTTTTTTCCAGAGAGAGAGTAAGACAGAGAGAAACATTGATGTGAGAGAAATACATTGATTGCACAAGCCCCAACCAGGGCCCGGGCCAGGGAGGAGCCTGAACCCAAGGTACATGCCCCTGAAGAACCCAGGACCCTTTGGTCCACAGGCTGACACTCTATCCACTGAGCGAAAACCACTAGGGCTCCCAATGTTAATAAGGAAATCATTTTTGGCAACTGCAGGTAAGTGGTAAGGATGGAAGCAAGAATGCAGGGAGTTTGGTATTAATGGAGGTGAGCAAGTGGCACAAGGGAGTAGGTACTACTCTTCCAAGATGCTCTGGAATAGTGAATATTCTATATCTCATATTTATAATGCCATAAATTCTTCAAAGAATTAGCTCAGTATCAAAGATTATTGCCCAATACTTCACAATCCATGGCTGCTCAAGAAATATTCCTTTAACTGGACAAAGTTGATACATTTTTAAAGACACAAGTGATTTGAGAAATACCACACAGTATATCCTTTCCAATAACTGATCTTTGAAGTTAGCATCTTGGAACATTTTATAGGAAAATATAGCTGTCTTCTCAACACTAAACTCAAAAAAGTTTGTGACGTGTCTCCAAACATCCCTAGCTTCCTTTAATAATCTATTATTATAGTCAAAATAGAAGATATATGAAAAATAGCAAGCACGTTGGTGTAGATTTGGTTTCATGTCAGCTCTACCATTTGCGAACCATATGATCTTGGGTTAATTACTTAAAACTTCCTGCTCCCCACTTACAAAAAAAAAGATAGCATTGCATCATAGGGCTGTAGTGTGGGCGGTACAGACTTGTGCCTGGCACATAAAGGTACGTAATAAATATCAGGTCCCATTACTTCCTGCCCCTGTGCCTTATGAACACCCTTTAAGATTTCAAAACTTCACTTTTAGTGTTTCCTTTTTCAGATCTGGTTTAAACTTTTTCAAGCAGAAGCAAATAAAACTTAATACTGACACAGTCAATTGCCTGCCAAAAGGCCTGATCATTTCAAGCTGGATTTCCCCTTAGGATGTTCACACCATAGAAGCATTTCTACGATAACTCAGCACTGTAACATAGATCCTTCCAGGTTATTTAGGTTAAAGTTACCCACGCCATTTGTGCCTTGGCCTTCCCTCTCAGAAGTCTCTCTGCTTCACTTGTCAATTCATTTCTAAAATGCACAATTCTCTGCCAGGCCAGAATGAGACTCCTGGGCCAGGGTACACAAACACTAACAAGTCTGGTTTGATTGAGCTTCTGCAAGCTCACTTCGGCAGCCTCACTGGATCTGAACTTACAAAACCAGAGGAGCATAAATGGAAGAATTATTACTTGTTGACATTTTGGATTAGGCCTTTGACAGTGGCCAGACTACGGAACTTCTGGAAGTCACGCACACGTTGAATGAAAACGCGTTTTGTGTTAGAACCCTTCAGAGAAGACTAGTCAGAGGCGGTTGCTTCTG